GGTGAGAACCGATTGTTCAACAAATATGTAGGATAAAATAGAGATGGATCGGGCATACTTTGAGGAGGCTGTCAAATGGCATCACGTGCAATGCAAACCATCGGTTGTGTGGAATCTCAATGGGAAGCGACGAACGGGTCGTCACTTCGATGGTGACATAGAGGAGATCTTTTGGGCAGGAGGAGATGGGAGATTATGGGAAATCGTAGAGCTAGCCAGCTGAAGAGGACAAGAGAAAATAGAACAGAGTGGAGATTGTTGTTCAAGCCCTATGTTCCACTCGGAACCCAAGAGAATAATAATTATATCGCATACTTCTTGGTTTTCAATGGTTCTCTAACTGATATCAATCCGTGATCAAAATTGAAGCTATCTATTTTTAAGTTCAACCACTAACCAGTGTCCTTAGGATGTTTTAAGACTGTATCAATACTAAGATAAGACTCTTCATTATACTTAATAAAGATTTCACTGAAATCATCGTTTCTTCCTGTTATAAGTGTAAAACCTTATCAGAGGAATCGGTAATATCGTTCTTTTTTTAAAACTTACCATAGATTCCTGCATAGATGAAACGGAAACAAAAAAGTATCACTGTGATTTATGCAAAAGATTTATTGGGTAAAAAGTCCTCATAAATTGGTTGCAAGATTTCATCATGGGCTGACATCCGTTAGAGAACCATTGGAAAACATGGGAGTACTGGACAGCTGTTTCATCCTATTTTGGTACTCTTCATCAGTACGTACCCACCACAGTAGGGTTCAGACTCAGGACTTTCTGGGTACAAGGCCAGCGAGCTCGTATACCATTCAGCCACTGGGGCCCGATTCAATGGCTCATAAATTACAACTTCTACCGATTCGTGATTTAGGGCGACTCCAACCAATGTTGTCGTAAGGGAAATCCATCCACACACGTGACATCTAATTGGACCTCACTGGTCACGACCTCTCACTAGAACTCCAGGAAACTCCATCCTGTAGGAAGTCACTAGCGAGCATCAGATTAATTTTCTATAGTTTGGTTTGTAAGGGTTAGTTTTGTTATTACGAGTCGATCACGAATTGATATCAGTTAGAGAACCATTGAACCATCGAACTCAGTGGGTGCGTACTGCCGATGATTCCCAAACTAGGATGAAACAGCTGTCCAGTACTCTCCGGTTTTCAATGGTTCTCTAACTGATATATGCATATTGTGAATAATAATTAAACACTTAGGAAAGAAGCTCTCTTTGACTAGTGTTGAGAGCAAACATTAAATCAATATCTTACTATCTTGTTCTGTAAAAAAGGACAGAAACATCAGCCTTCATTATATATGACCGTAAAACTAAAAAGGTCTTTAGCATAAATTTGGAAACAATTAATAGTAGTTATGATACAGAAGATTTGTAGCTCAGGTAGATGATTTTGATGTGGTTGTGTTCTCACACATGAAGGGTCAAAGTTCAAGTCAAAGAAACAATCAGTTCCAATACAAGTAACCTAGAAGGTGTGAAAACACACAAAAACAACCAATCACGTCCAAGGTCACCAGGAGAGATGACTAATAAACTCCTGGAGAAATCTAAAAGCTCACTGCATCAAATTGAAGTATGCGCCGAAGATGTCACCTAGTAGGGCGATGAAAGCTTCGCAAATTAACTATCCGGCTTATAGAACACAACCACATCAAAAATTAGTAGTAGTAGTAGCCAGTGACAGGACAAAAACAGTTTTGTGATATATAACACACTGTAACGGTAGTAACTGGTACCTCTATATAGCCTAATTATGCAAACCTTTTCTTCAGAGCACCATTTGCACAGATCATCCATGTTGTGATACTTCTGGACTTCATGTTGTGTCTTTTTGTGCTGTTCCTTTCACGTCTCTCATGTATCTCCCTGTAACGCTGTATCATTTGCTCTCTTTCTCTTTCTTTTTCTTTCTTTCTCCATGTTATTTGCTGTTTTCATTCCAGCCGATGGACGTCTATTTATATACTACTGATAAATAATATCAGTAGCACTCGCCACAGTGCCACACCTTGTGTCACATTACACATTTTTCAAATTCATCATTGTTTTCATATCGATTTAATCGCAGCGACATCTGATGAAACTAATGTATTTTGATTCCATATTAATTTGTTTACTGGATAAATTATTATACAGTGAAACGGTATTATTATTTTGATGTGGTTGTGTTCTTTATCAAATTAAAGGCCCCCAAGGAAAGCGCAAAGAAAATCGCCCTGCTCTATGTAAAGGACACCTCAGAAATCACTGCAAGACTTTTCAAACCTTTAGGAATTGACTTCGCATACAAACCAACAAAATAGCTTCACTGAGTTCTGTGTGAACCAAAAGACTTAACAACGAAAGAAGATAAAGCCGACGTCATCTACAAAATAAATTGTAGCAACTGCCAAAGTGAACGTCCCCTTCGTCTTCCTAGCCATGAAAATAATCTAGCCGTCAAAGGCATGACATTCACTGCCTCATGTCACTACATACAGACAACCACGGACATCATTTCGACTAGGAAAACGTTCAAATATTAGACAGAGGAAAGAGCACCAAGAATGCTGAAGAATTTTTAGAAGCCTGCCTGGTATTCCAGTGAATCGTCAATCAATAGACACATAGACACAAAATTTACTGACCGATAAGAAGGAAATCTCACACACAAAGGGTCAAAGTTCAAGTCAAAGAAACAATCAGTTCCAATACAAGTATCCTAGAGGGTGTGAAAACACACAAAAATAACCATTCATGTTCAAGTTCACCAGGGGAGATGACTAATAAACTCCTGGAGAAATCTAAAAGCTCACTGCATCAAATTGAAGTATGCACTGAAGATGTTGCCTAGTAGGACAATGAAAGCTTCGCAAATTAACTATCCGGCTCAGAGAACACAACCATAACAAAATCATCCAGCTGAGCTACAAATCTTCATCATATATGGGCATTATTATTATTTACCAGATGACGAGGTTTGTTATTCATAACTATCTCACTTGTAGGTCTACAGATGAGAAGCTGGATTTTCATATTTCTCTGTCCTCCCTCTTATAATAATATTATCATTATTGTTGTTTCCTTTGATTCCTAGGGGAATATAGGGCTTCGGCCGCACGTCTCCATTGCGTTCGGTTCTCTGCCCATGTTTTCACCTGGCTTTACGTCTACTCATATACTTTCATCTTCCCTTCGCATGACCACCTCCATGTCACCTTCGCACTGATGACCAACTCGCCACAGTTGTGTGGTTACGATTGATGAAATGGTTATAAATAATTATAACCTGTATTCAGAACCCTATCATCCAGTAAAAAATCCTGTTTCACTGTGTGAATATATATCCCATAAACGTGGCAATATGGAATTTTATACTACCGCAGTGTCGAAGTTTTACACATTTACAAAAGTACTTTGGATGTTGAATTAAACAAAATTATATAATTTGGAGCAAATACTTTGGCGTCTTTTCACTGACTAAAATCTGAGGGATTTTTATCACCAAATTTGACGTAATTCTTGGCATTTTCCACCTTGACAGAGGCGTTTTATCATGAAGAGATGATTACGCTAATATTGGTCAGTTAGCAGTTAGAAGGATTATATTCATTAACATTATTCCCTTAGGTTCTAAGTGGAACATGAGACTTCAAAAGCACGTCTTCATTTTTCCTGTCTTATGCAGTCCTCTTCAACACGATTTCTTCCATGTCCTCCTCGAAGCGACGCCCAACCCACAGTTCCTAACTCGGTTTCCACTCGAGGCTGTGCTTAGCAAGGGACGTCACCCAACGGTCTCCTCAGCATGTGTCCACACCATCTCCCTTTTCTCTGGATTATTTGTTGAACAATAAGTCCGTGATTGGTTTCTTTCCAGATCTTTTGAATGCTAATTTTTTCAGACTGCCATCTAGTCGGCAAAATCATTGTTCAAAGACAGCTGTTGTTAAAAGTATGCAGGAGCCTGTTCAAAATGCTTTTCATGAAGTGCACGCTAAGTTTCTGACCTAGATAGAAGAACTGGATGAATGGACATGAACGGACAGTCTCGAAATTTGCATAGAATGATCATATCCAGTTCCTCCTGAATAAGTGTTTAAAATCGGAATTTTGTCCTTCACTCTGTAGAATGCAGAAGATTTCCACACTGATTTCAGAATGATAAAAATCTCTGCTGCCTTTCCGATCCTGGTTTTAACATCCTCATCCATGCAGCGTGCTTGCAGTTGAAACGATGATGCCTAGCCGGAAAAGTGAAGAAAGTGACCTCTTTCAAATTCCTCCTGTCGATGGTGGTTGGTAGTTGCTGTTGCCGTTTGTTAGGTTTCTTCATCACCTCTGTCTTCTCAGTGTTTACTTGATATCCTGTCTTCTTCCCGCCTGTTACTTCTGCCAGATTGTTGGTTTTTTCGCCTGTAAGTCTTCCAAGTTGTATGACATTAGACAAAAGTCGGCCACGAAGTACAAATCTTCTACAGTCTTCTTATTGGTCCAAAGTATTCCTGCCTTCTCGCTCCCATGCACAGTCTTCCACACAACCCAGTCCAACACAATTAGGAATATCCTTGGTGATAATCGACAGTTTTGTTGTACTTCCCTCTTCCCTTCAGAGGCTTCGGTGAGTTTTAAGTCGTAGATCATCTGACAGGGGTTATTTTCATCTAGTTGTTCAATGAGAGTGATAAAGATCAAGGGTACCTCAAGGTGTGCAAGCAGTTTCCAGATTAGGTAAGCAGAATCGCTAGAGTCGATAATACTTCCATATATATATATTCTCGCGTATTTCATTAATCAGTGTGTCGAGTTTACGTTTGCGTACTGAAGTATTATCCTGATACCTGAAGCACCAGTTTTTATCCACAGATTAACACCATAAAAGGCTGTTCCATACAAACCTAGAAAATGCCTCCCCTGATTGAGCATTCGAAAGTGTATTAGGCTTGTAGAAATTATTTTCTCCATGAATAAAGAAAGAACTCACCTTCATATGCTGTTTTAATTAGAAAAAATATGATAACGGGTATTTAATTCTTGTAAGAAATATTACTTCATTTAGTAACATGATGAATGTTACTGCATCTTTAAATCTTAAAAGGTATACAATTAAATCACAATGTATACATACCATGAATAAAAAATAAGTCAACTGATTGGTCAAGATGAGTAATTGTGTAACAACAGAAGACCAGGGCCAGGCAACAGATACTTTATTTAAGAAATCAACACATATTTTTAGATTTTCATGTACATTATTGTAGATTATTGGGGGTAAACAAACACAGTCTTCTGATCGGTGGTTTCTCGCTGAACGTCTCTCTCTTTGTCTCATCTCTTTGTGGCCGTTCATTGAAGTTCAGATTATCTATCTGCAAATTGTATCCACCTACGCAGTCTGCTGTGACTGGTTGTTGAATCGGTCTTTGTTCTTATTTTTCTCATGACCAACATTGGGGACGTAAACATTGACGTAAATTACTATCTGCCAATTTCGGCTAGCAGCCAGCTCTCACTACAGCTGTATACCACTCATGTCAACGAGCAGTGCTCACGTTTGCGACTGAGATCATTAATGGTGTACAGGGTTTAACTGATCTCAGAGAGCCGAGTCAGTTGAAAGCAATCGATTTCTGGCTAGCTACTTAAGCGGCCTGGTATTATCACTCATCAAATTCATAATTTACAAATTAACTCTACATTTCCAATTTACGCAGTTGGGGGAGGTGAAATCTTCTCTACAGTTTCCTCTGGAAAATAAATTATTGAGATCACAATATGTGATCTACGTGATACGATAAGTGGTAATCACAAAAGCAAGCGTGTTTGAACTTATTAGACTCTCTGAGCTGAGTCGAATCGGGTATACTACTGATAAGCTTGGTCCATAGCAAGAGAAATGGCTTTTCGGTGCTTGAATCACTTAGATTTGACTGGTTATTAGGCACTATTCGTTGGGTGACATAAATGGTATACAAATACTCAATCACTAGTATATAGCTGAATGGAGTTAAGTTTACTTTCTCAACTACCATTTATGGCATAAAGCAGATCACATATTGTGAGTTATTTGAATAATTTCGGTTTCTAAATGAAATTTCGGTGAAATTTTACACTTCAAACTGTTTACACCGCAAATTGCTAACTAATTAGAAAAGTGTGAATTTGATTTGTACTCCATGTACTTTTTGCACATCTTCATTCCTCCTTGTAATAACTCCTCTTTCTCATAAAAAAATTGCTGTCAGCCCTATTCGCTGTTGATTCGAGACAATAAAAGCTCTACACGTCAACTGTCTGTCTTTATGACCTCTTACTTTCCAAGTTCAGTGGTATCGTATCGTGTCGTTGTTGTTATGAATAGGGATTATAACAGTAATCTCGCGGGTCGATCAGGTAAGAAGCTCATCATCTCAAATTATCAAGTATATTATGGGTAATATTGTAGCGACAGAAGACATTGGCCAGGCAACAGATCGCTTATTGAGAAAATCAAGAGATATTTATAGATTTTTATGTATATTATTATTCGTTATTATTAGCAGAGAGGTCACGTCTTCTGACTAGGTGTTTTCCCGCTGAAGGTTATTCTATCATTTCTTTGTTGCCGTTTCTTACACAGTCCAGTGGTATGTCTGCGAATCGTATCCACCCACGTTCAGTCTTCCGTGATTGGTTGTTGAGTTCCTCGAGGTTAGTCTTTGTTCTTGCTTTATCTCATGACCAAGATTTAGGACGTAAAGATAGACGTAAACTGTTGTCTATGAATTTTGGCTAGCAGACAGCTCTCACCACAATATGACATTCAGTCAATAGAACATCGTTAGATGTCCCAATAAAATTCCTACTTCTATAAATTCATGCTATATTGCACTACTGTAAGTCAATATATAATCCGCCCTAGTCTGCCTTGTAGCGCAATATTCAAGGTTGTATTCGCGACGGAGTCATGAGTGCCTACCGAGGAAAAGTTCTAAACTAGAACGAAACAACTCTACAGTTTCTTTTGGTTTCCATTGATGCTTTAACTGGTGTTTGTTTGTAATATGATTTTAAATCAGTCAACTCTCTTCAAATCAACAATTGAAAGTCATTATGTCATACAATGACTCAGGAATTGGGTAGAGGATTTCATCGTGAACTGACATCAGTTTGAGAACCATTGGAAAACCAACTGGGAGTACTGGACAGCTGTTTCATCAACCTAGTTTGGAACTCTTCACAGTACGTACCCACCGTGGTTTGAAGCCAGGACCTTCTGCTTACAAGGCGAGCGGGTGCATACTCCTAAACAGTCTCAAACTAAGACGAAACAACTATCTATTATTCCTAGGTTTTCCAGTGGTTCTCTAACTGATATCAGACCACGATGAAGTCCTTCATCCAATCAAACAAAATCCCTACAAGAGCAATACTTGAAAAGACTCATGAATTTGTTGATAGCTAGTTAGTACTATTTCAAAGATCCTTTCACTACCACTTTGCTTTGAATTTTAAAATAGTGTAGAGTCAGAATAGCGTATCAAAATTAGACTCACATGCTTCTCCTTTTGGATCAATAAAAAGGTTAACAGAATGTAAACCAACAATGGCACAGGACTTCTACGTGACCTATTATTATAATTATTATTATTGTAGTCATTATTATTCCTTTTGGTTCCAAGTGAAACAAAGGGATTCAACAGAACATCTCTATTTTATCCTATCATCTGCAGTCCCCTTCAGCTGCCCCCACTGCTCTTCACAAGCTATCATTCCCCCCTTTGCACAATCTTCTTTACGTCATTCTTGGACGCCCAACTCATCATCTCCCATATGGGTTCCATTCAAAGCACTTCCTGGCACACGATGTCACTCAGTAGTCTCACTAGCCAGTGTCGATTTCCTTCGTCATACTTAGTAAGCATTAGGCTCTTGATTGGTTCATCGCCAGGGTTTATTGTTGCTAATCTTTTCTATCTATTTTATCTTCAGTATGGGATGAAGGCAGCTGTTGATTTAGGTCTGAAGCTTGTTCAAAATGCTTTCTGTGACATGCTGGCCAAACCTTTTGATCTATATAGAAGAATTGACTTAACATTGGTGTTGAATACCTGGATATTTTCCTTGTGCCGGCTGCAGTGGATTTCCATATTTATTTCGGATCAATGGAGGTCTGCTTAGGCTTCCCTATCCTGGTTTTGATATCCTCCTCGGTGCCGACTGTTTGTAGTTGAAAGGGTTCTACCCAGGTAAGTGAAAGAAGTGTCGTAAACCACCATAGTACTTATACATTAAATGTCTTTGAATAAGTAAAGAAAATACGGCCATTTCATTCATTTTAAAGACACAGGAACTATGATATAACTTACTGAACCTTCCTATATAAAAATAAGAATGTGTCAATTTCACTAGTAAACTAGTTTTCTATAGAATATGATAACATGCATGTCAAACATGCGCAAGACAACACCAACAATAAGGAATCCAAATCATCAGTAGTAATTCCATACAAGGAAGGAACCTTGGAAACCTCGGAGACGGAGAATTCTCAACAAGGCAGGAATAAAAGTGACAATCAAACCCACAAACTCAATTAGAAACACGTTTTGTCGGTTAGAGGATCATGTGGAGCCTTTGATGTATCTAATACCCTGCAATGACTGTCAGGTCAAATACATAGGTCAAAGTAGTAGAACAGGGGCAGTCAGACTATCCGAGCATAAACACCTAGCAAAATCTAGACTAGTTGGCCCAAATGAGATAAGAAATCTAGAGAATAGTTCAACCTTAGCATTACATTCAGTTACACACAACCATACAATAGGATGGGACCAGATAAGATGACAGTTTTAAAATCTTATGTCACAGGGTGCAGGGAGAGATTAACAAAAGGAGATTTATTTATCGAATCAACTGCAAATACGTGTAAAAGGAATGATTCAACACTTGTCCCAGATATCTGGAAAATTCTACTACCTCTACGACGACAAACAGGAGAGAACAAAGAAAACTATAAAACTCAAGTTTCGAAATCGTGTGATTATAACTGATATGATTATGAACAATAAATTTTGTTCGAAACGTCATCCAGTAAATAATACTGTTTCACTGTGTGTTATATCTAATAAACAAACTAATATGGGATTAGTGTTCTAGACACTGGAAATCATGCCGACATATCATAGCCAAAGTCAAGGTCCTTCAAAAGTCAACCTTCGATTGGATACAGGGAATGCTATGAAAAGTCATTCAAAATCAAATCATGCCTGTCTTTTTGGACTTGGACAGGACAGATACAGTGTTTTGCTTATTTACTAGGTACATATTCCGTAAATCTATACTGTTAGATAGGTCTGTAGCGTTTAAGATTAACGTTAGATTAAGGGCTGAAGTTAGGATTATAGTTAGAGTTAGGAGTAGGTTGGTGAATAGTGTCAGAATTATCAGTGAATCTCAAAGTAGCGTGACCTACAGTCACCTGGATGAATGGATATATTGCGCATTGCATGGTGCCTATATAGATCATCTGTGTAGTGACTGGAAGACATTCTTACAACACATAGGCCTCAAATGCACAGTGTAAAGTCATGTTTGCAATATTTTTTAGTGTAATTATCAATGATTGTGGCACTCTTTTGCATCTGAATCCTGATTGGTTGTTCAAGTTCAATGTGGTGGTTTTGCCGAAATCACTTCTCGACATTTGGCCTTATATACATAGTTGATAATGCTAGTTGTGTTGCATTAAATGCCGAATGTGTGAATAGAGGTATTTTTAACGAAGAGGCAGTAAATGTTAGCAGCTTTATCTCAGTATTCTCATTCCAGGTGGAAAACAGAGCCTCATGCTTAAAGTTCGAAGTTTTAATGGCGCTATTCCTTTTCCTGAGTGGAGTTGCTGGTCTCACAACTATCCTTCTGGCCCTCTTACTGGAATTACTGCCGATTAATCCAGGTTTAAGGATGTACCAGTCTGAAACTGGACCCATCCCAGTGCATATTTGACATGTAGTCTACCATCAAACCACCGTTTGCCAATATCAAATGTGTCTGCCTAGAAACTCACTCATCTCCTCTAAAATACATACATAAAAAACATGACTACACCTTAGTAACACTCGATAAATTACACAAACGATAAAGTATTTTATTTCGTTTTATATATAAACTGAAGGATATTGATTGTATCTTTAAGTCAATTCTGTTCTCTCGTCACCCAAGTAGTTTGGTTGATAACGCCTCGGTGTTAGAAATGATGGCTACTGGATTCGAGCTCAGATGAGAACATCATCACTCACTCACTCACTTGGGATACCAGGAGTATCTAGCTGATGAGTTCCTCAAATAGGATGAAATGGTCATCTTGGATTCTACAGCTAGTCATTGTCGATCATAAAAGAAACATCCCCACTTTAAAATTATCTTCATTCGAATGTGTATAAGTGGAATCAAACATATTTAAATTGAAATACACGTCTTACCCTTGAATGCTGAATAAAAATAATACGCAGTGTGATTTTTCAAATCCAAGAAACTTGTAACTTTTAATATAAGCTGACTGACTGATGGAACTCAGTCTGCAACAAAGAAAGGACAGTACACATCTCACACAAGTTACTTGTGTTCAATGAAGTCATCCAATACAGTACTACAGGAGGTCAATCGCGAGCCAGCTCGAATAACTAGCTCAGTGGTAACGTCTCTGACTGCACGTAGCATTGAGTGACGCGGGATCGAATCTCAGAAAGGACATGAGTTCCTTCAAGGCAGTTGCAGATACGCCTTGCTGACCAGTGGTTGCCAATTTGCA